GTCTTGATTCGAGATGCCGCTCCTCAAAGATCTTCGTCTGAGAGGAGGAGGTCCCACTCTGCACAACGCTCTGGTCCTGAGGAGGATGAGCCTGAACATCACCGCACACATGAACCCCTTCACTGACGACGGTAACAGCGCTCTGATTGGCTCATTTAAACCCCTCCCTCTCTCTGATTGGCTCATTTAAACCCCTCCCTCTCTCTGATTGGCTCATTTAACCCCCTCCTCTCTCTGATTGGCTCATTTAAACCCCTCCCTCTCTCTGATTGGCTCATTTACACCCCTCCCTCTCTCTGATTGGCTCATTTAAAACCCCTCCTCTCTCTGATTGGCTCATTTAAACCCCTCTCTCTCTCTCTGATTGGCTCATTTAAACCCCTCCCTCTCTCTCATTGGCTGATTTAACCCCGTGCCTCTCTGTGATTGGCTGATTTAACCCCGTGCCTCTTTGTGATTGGCTGATTTAACCCCGTGCCTCTCTGTGATTGGTCAGGTCTGGACGGGGACAGTCAGGGCTGGTCTCCGGGCAGCTCTCTGTTAGACGGGGACGTGCCTCGGGACAGAAACCCTTTCGAGGACGAGGAGGACGAGAACGAGGCCAACGAGGGCAAACGGGGCGGAGTCAATGGCAAGGGGGGCGGGTCCGCGGGCAAAGGGGGCGGGTCCGGGGGCAAAGGGGGCGGGTTCAAGTTCGTGTCGCCGCTGAGGACCCTGGGCAAACTGGGCAAGAGCCTGAGGACGTCGGGCCGCGGCGGGAAGGACGCCACACCCTCGCCCTCCGACTCACCGGGAGAGAAGAAGAAGAGAGGGAGGCGGAGCTCCGAGGGCTCGCTGCTCAGGTAACCAATCAGAGCGCAGATAAACTGTTACTATGGAGATGTACGGCAGACTGAGGTCCTTTTAGGTGGAGACTGAGGTCCTTTTAGGTGGAGACTGAGGTCCTTTTAGGTTGGAGATGTTGAGCCTGAGAGAGACTGAGTCCTTTTAGGTGGAGACTGAGGTCCTTTTAGGTGGAGATGTACATTAGACTGAGGTCCTGTGTTGCTCTCTCGTCTGTGTTGGTTCTAAACAGAATCTGTAAACAGTCGGTGTTATTCCAGAGGAGTTTCAGTGTAGTTATCGCCCCCTTCAGGCGTCTGACCTGAACTGAAGAAGCAGTTTGGATGAGCCGAGTTTTCAACCAAAATAAACGTTTGTCCAGTTGACAAATTGGGTTTCTCCTTTATCCTGGATTTTATCTGGACGACTGAAGGTTTTACACATCAGAACTGGACTTACAGCTCACGTTTGTGTAATACAGGACCTAGAAACCAGCTCCAAACCAGGTCTAACCCCGGTCTGTGGTCTGTGGTCTGGTCTGGTCTCTGGTCTGGTCTTTGGTCTGGTCTAGGTTCGTGGGGCAGTACAGGGACTCTCTGCCTCTTGTAAAGTCTGGTCTGTGGTCTGTGGTCTGTGGTCTGTGGTGTGGTCTGTGGTCTGGTCTGTGGTCTGGTATGCGGTCTGTGGTCTGTGGTCTGGTCTGGTCTGGTCTGTGGTCTGTGGTCTGGTCTAACCCTGGTCTGTGGTCTGGTCTGGTCTGGTCTGTGGTCTGTGGTCTGTCTGTGTCTGTCTGTGGTCTGGTCTGGTCCTGTGGTCTGGTCTGTGGTCTGGTGGTCTGTGGTCTGGTCTGGTCTGTGGTCTGTGGTCTGTGGTCTGTGGTCTAATGGGTCTGTGGTCTGGTCTGTCTGTCTGTCTGGCTGTGTCTGGTCTGGTCTGGGTCTGTGGTCTGGTCTAACCCCGGTCTGTGTCTGTCTGTGGTCTGTGGTCTGGTCTGTGGTCTGGTCTGTGGTCTGTGGTCTCTGGTCTGTGGTCTGGTCTGTGGTCTGTGGGTCTGGTCGGTCTGTGGTCTGGTCTGCTTGGTCTGTGGTCTGGTGGTCTGGTCTCTGTGGTCTGGTCTGTGGTCTGTCTGGTCTGTGTCTGTGTCTGGGTCTGTGGTCTGTCTGTGGTCTGTGGTCTGGTCTGGTTGGTCTGGGTCTGTGGTCTGTGGTCTGTGTGGTCTGTGGTCTGTGGTCTGTGGTCTGTGGTCTGGTCTGTGGTCTGTGGTCTGTGGTCTGTGGTCTGGTCTGTGGTCTGTGGTCTGGTCTAACCCCGGTCTGTGGTCTGGTCTGTGGTCTGTGGGTCTGTGGTCTGTGTTGGTCTGTGTCTGGTCTGTGGTCTGGTGTGGTCTGTTCTGGTCTGTGGTCTGGTCTGTGGTCTGTGGTCTGTGGTCTGTGGTCTGTGGTCTGTGGTCTGTGGTCTGTGGTCTGGGTCTGTGGTCTGTTCTTGGTCTGGGGTCTCTGATCTGTGTCTGGTCTGTCTGGTCTGGTCTGTCTGGGTTCTGGTCTGTGGTCTGTGGTCTGGTCTCTGGTCTGTGGTCTGTGGTCTAACCCCGGTCTGTGGTCTGGTCTGTGGTCTGGTCTAGGTTCGCGGGCCGGTACCGGGACTCGCTCTCTCGTAAAGACTGTATCTCAAACGGAGGAGACGTGGGACCTGACGACGACTCCCAGAGCCGCCGGAGCCTGATGAAGATCGTCCTGGGGAAACACAAGAGAGAATCCGGATCCGAGCGGGTCTCACAGGGACCAGAACCAGGACCAGAACCAGAACCAGAGGAGCTGGTCAAACCCAGAGAGCCACTGTCAGGTAAGAGTCCGAACCAGGACTAGACCAGGACTAGACCAGGACTACACCAGGACTACACCAGGACTAAACCAGGACTAAACCAGGACTAAACCAGGACTAACCAGGACTAAACCAGGACTAACCAGGACTAAACCAGGACTACACCAGGACTAAACCAGGACTAGACCAGGACTAACCAGGACTAGGACTACCACCAGGACTACCACCAGGACTAAACCAGGACTAAACCAGGACTAGGACCAGGACTAAACCAGGGACTAAACCAGGACTACACCAGGACTACACCAGGACTAAACCAGGACTAACCAGGACTAAACCAGCTAACCAGGACTACACCAGGACTAAACCAGGACTAAACCAGGACTAAACCAGGACTACACCAGACTAAACCAGGACTAAACCAGGACTAGACTAGACAGGACTAAACCATGACTAAACCAGGACTAAACCAGGACTAAACCAGGACTAAAACCAGGACTACACCAGGACTAACCCACTACACCAGGACTAAACCAGGACTAGACCAGGACTAAACCAGGACTACACCAGGACTACACCAGGACTAAACCAGGACTAGACCAGGACTAAACCAGGACTAGACCAGGACTAAACCAGGACTAACCCAGGACTACACCAGGACTAAACCAGGACTAACCAGGACTAAACCAGGACTACACCAGGACTAGACCAGGACTAAACCAGGACTAGACCAGGACCCAGGACTAGACCAGGACTAAACCAGGACTAAGACCAGGACTAAACCAGGACTAACCAGGATAAACCAGGATGAACCAGAATAAACCAGGTCCAAACCAGGACCAAACCAGGACTGCACCAGGACTAAACAGGACTAGACCAGGACAAACCAGGACTAAACCAGGACTAAACCAGGACTAGGACTAAACCAGACTAACCAGGCTAAACCAGGACTAAGACCCAGGACTACACCAGGACTAACCAGGACTAGACCAGGACTACCCAACTAACCAGGGACTACACCAGGACTAAACCAGGAGACCAGGACTAAGACTAGACAGGACTAACCCAGGACTACACCAGGACTAAACCAGGACTAAACCAGGACTAATCCAGGACTAAACCAGGACTACACCAGGACTAGACCAGGACTAAACCAGGACTACACCAGGACTAGACCAGGACTAAACCAGGACTAGACCAGGACTAAACCAGGACTAAACCAG